GGCTTCAGAAATTATTAAGCGTCAAGACAATATAGGAATGGCTGTGGCAAACATACCGCTTAATAATTACTGAACTGAATACGAGGTTAAAGTTCAAACTTTAAACAACGTGGGCAAAGGACCAGAAAGTGAAGTAGTACTTATATACTCAGCCGAAAACATGCCTCTAGTAGCTCCTCAAAAACCGAAACCTCCGCTTTCAACTCGACCGCTTTCAATGTTACTTGGGAGCCGATCGAGTTAACACGCGAAAATATAAGAGGAAACTTATAGGTCATCGCGTAAGTAATATTTATATCCAGAATTATAAATTGAACTAACGATACGGATATCATCTAGATAAACTATTGGAAAACTGCGCAGGGAGAAGAAGATGCGGTGTATTACTTATCAAGGACTACACGTAATTGGGGTTTAATTGTAGGTTTAAAACCTGATACCTATTATTTTGTCAAAGTGATGGCATATAACGCGGCTGGAGAGGGACCAGAAAGCGAACGAGCCGAAGGTAACGATAATTATAAAGCTAATTAATAGACATATGTCCGTAATGTAAAGGAAATCTTTAATTATAGAGCGCACGTACCGTAAAGCTCCACAAAAGCCTCCTTCGTCTGTTCATATTTACGGCATTAACCCTTCAACTGTGCGAGTTGTTTGGCGTTATGTTTCACTAGCTCAGGACGAAGAGCACATTGAAGGGTATAAAGTGCGGGTCTGGGAAAGTGATCAAAACGTGATCACGGCCAAAGACACAATTGTAGCAATAGGTAAAAAATTGGAAGCATATTTTACTACAATACTAAACAAAGTTACAATATTCGTGTTCTGGCCTATAGTAACGGTGGGGACGGCCCTACCATTCGTTTCCAAATGGGTATGTTCTACTTTTGATGAAAATTTATTTTTTGCTTAAGTTACGCTTATTCTTCCTCCGCTTTGCAGGCAAGACCACTTTGTAATTTTGGTAATTAGCTCATGTTTTTTCTTACTCGAAAGTTAACAAGTTGCAATCAAAAAAGTTCACCTTATCGGTTATCAAGTTCGTCCACTCCATTAATTTTTTAGGACTTGTAGTAAAACTAACCGTAAAATAAATTTTACAAAATAATATTAAATATATGTAAATAAAAAATCGTCACAAGTTTTGTATAAATTGTTTCTATTTACTTTTTTAAATTGAATTTTCTTCTCATTAACCACTACAAATACAACAACGATGAATATTCTCTCGCATTTTCCATACATATAATGAGAAAAGGCACCATGCCCACATTAAAGAAGAATATAATTTTCTTGCTTGTCTACATTTATTCTACTTTAAACAATTGCGTGTAAGTCCACGAAATCCAATAATTTCTCTAAAGCTCATTTTTAGAGGGGAAGAACGTTTAACGAAATTGGTAAATGAAAGCAAAAAGGAAAAGCAGCAGAAGAACGAGTGTGGCACATGCGTCAATAAAACAAATCGTAAAAAATTTCGGTTCATGTTTATCTATTTCTAGAAATATTTCTGGATATTGTAAATAGCCAACATCTTAAATTTAGTAAAGAGTTTCTTATGACCACATATTTAAACATTTTTAACCTTGTTCTTTGAATCCTCTTATATAAATGTCTGTTTCCCACCATTCATTTGTTTTATATAAGATATTTTTGCATGTATTAGAATTGCTATCGGCCTCAATAGCCGCGTTGTCGTAATCGCGTTGTTGTAAATCCATGAAATGCTTATATACTTGTAAATCTTTGCAGCAGTGTAAACTCGTCAAACTTGTATTGCCTTTATGTAATAAATGAATCTGTACATCCTTACAGCTTGGAGGCAACGTACAAAACTCCTTAGGAATCATATCAACCTTTGCATTTGAGATCGTCTTTAAATCTATTATTTGTTTCGAAATTTCCAGTTCTAAATACATATTAGTAGGATTTAGGTTAGACGAAAAGATTGTATAAAGATCCGGATGAGTTAGCAACGAACTATAAAAACAAACAATAATAATGTTGGTTTGTTATACGAGCCTACCTACAGTAACGTTTAGTTTAAATTGCCGATAGCCATGGCATTTTGTTCATGGGAGTGGTTACTTGAAATTGCCTCTGTTGGTATGTGTATTGTGTACGCTTCTTTCGGTGTATATGTAGTAGAACCAAACAAAATCCTCAAACTTTTAATGCATTTACTTTTTTTTTACAAATTTTTAGGTGTTATTGCCGCAATCTGTGATGAGGTACGGGATACTCTTTTTCAAAAAGTAAGATCTATAGAATTTTTGTGGCCATAGTTAAATGGTTACTTCTTATGTATCGCTAGTTCTCTCGTAGCTCTAAACCTGAAAAACGTGACATATTTATTTTGTTGTTTTATACAAATTAAGCAATCGCTAGTTATGAGAAATCTGTATGTGTAATTAACCATCTTATCTGAGATCAAAACTTGTTATAAATATTTATTTTATCATGCCCTCAAGCGATACCCTGTCGGAAAGCAGGAATGCAACATAATTCATCCAAGTTTGCTTTATTCTAAAATTACAGAAATGCGTAAAACGTTGTCTAGAGTAAATAATTGTATAATTGCACGCGCTTGCACAAGTTTGTGTTTGTCATTTAGAAAGATTCCTTTCCTTTCAGTTTATAAATTAGTGCAGTTGGCGGATTTTCGCAGATTATTTAAATAGAGTCAAAGTCATATAGTTCCACTTTTCGTTTTCTATTGCAAATGTACTAAAAAGCGGAGCATATTATTGTTCAAATGTAACAAATAACTTTTACACTCAAATATACTTATTTTGTGGAGAAAGTACGTTTCATCTGACCACACCGCTATAGATCTAGACATTGGCAAGCAATACTTTTATTACATTGTACGAACTGTTAACTCGATTTATTGCTAATATTTCAGTAACCTTCATCGATCGATTATCGCTGGAAATGTTATTTTGTGACTCAACGAATGAGCGTTTAGAAATGTTTATCTCAATTCTGATATTTACGCTGATTGAGAATATGCGTACTTTACAGTATGCCTGCTGCGTATTTCAATTCGACAAATTTAGGGCATCATCCGCGAAAAAATTAAAGATATACTGCTTTGTTATAAACGTTTGCTCTACGAAGCTTTCAGTATGTACTTTCCTTCGATTCAAACTTCTGACTTCATGAAAAGGACGCTTTCTGAATTTGAAATCGCTTTTGACGCGAATTCAAAAAGATTTCCTATTTTATGACATTTAAGTCTTACGGTGCAAATACTCCTTCAAATTAATTGAATTATTATAATTAATTTGATTAAAATAAATCTAAGCGAATTAAACTATTTAAATATGTGTATATATGTTTATAATAATAAGTAAAACAATAATATTAATATTATAAATTATGTTAATTAAGAGCGGCTTAAATAACTATTAGTCTATAAATTAATAAAATTTTAGATAGTTTTTATAAATCGTTTATCATACCGTGATTAGCTTTTTTATAAAACACATAAAACCGGCGAATTTTTTATCATTTTTAAATAATCAGAGTTTATACTTACAATGCGCACTCCGTAATAGGTAAAAAAATGTCAATAAATTAAAAATAAATAAATCAAAACAGCAATTAACTAAAAAAAATATTTCGTATGAATGCTATTCGTGATAAAATTAGCTTGATTTAATTTACATGAAACATAAGGATAACTTTAAGAGTACCTATTGCCGAGTGTATAATATAATAATGTAACCAAATCAAAATAATACAATTGTAGGAATTAAATGAAGTGTTAAGAAATTATATAAAGCTAAAAGAGAACAAAAGTGAAACTCAATGTCTTAACGAAGTTATTTAATATGTTTGTATTTTTTTTTCAATTTTCAAATATATATATATATAAAAACTATAATTAAAAACGTTTAAAAAAAAACTTTAAATATCTGTTATTAAAGCAAGGCGATGGCGTTGCATTAGTTATTTCTTTACTTCGTCGTAACAGACTGATTTATCATAATTTTCTGTAGGCAAATTTAAAAAAAAGCCATTAACAGATATTTTAATATGTATATTATTCATAACCAAGGTTGGATTTCAGGATGATTTATCAACGTATATGTATGCTTCCGGTATATACAAAGGTCAATGTATAATAATGAACCGACTACCCAAAGTGTGTTTGGACGCCTATCCGTCTGTCCCAGCTCATATGTAACTGGTACTCTTTCGGCCAATTCAAGGACGTTCATTGCCTTATAAGTATCATTGATAATAAGTCATTTTGTGCCGGTTCAATTATGTGTGATCCATCTACACTCATCCGTTATTGGAAAGGAATCGTGGGCTCTTTTTAATCAAATATTTGTCATAAAGACACTCTCCTGAATAACTTAATTTAAGCGAGCAGACAATCCATCACAAGTCCGGCGTCAGAAGATCTATAATTCATTGCAGCTTGCATAATTATGGGTGAAATAAAAATTTTTGTAACTTGTTCGTACATTTCCTGGAATTCGGAGACATATGGTTGTCGTGCATTCGTGAAGGCGTTGAAGCATCACTGAAGTTGTTATAGTGCTGGTTGTTTTCAATTTACCTCAGGTATCGTGGAGTTTAAACGTAATGTATGGAACTGATGTCATCATCTGGAAGATGAATCAGATTCACCAATGGACTATCTGGCTCTTTGGCCTGCACTAATATAACTGTATTCCTAATTGCAATACCAGAGTGCTGGACTTAATATTTTCCAACGTATTTGAAGTACGTGTTAACTGCAGTGAGCCCTGTGTTATACAGGAGGACCCTTTTCATCCGACCCTCAACTTCTCCGTTAACGGTATTGCGTTTACCTCTTAGATAACACCAAATTTTAATGCATCTCAACAGGATTATGCCTCGTTTCCTTCGTCCATTACTTCTAATGGTATTTATACTTCTGACGGTCCTGACATTGCGAATTTCTTTGCGAAATTCTTCCAGTTCAACCCCTTACTTGATTGTTATGACCCTACAGCTATCTACCCTCATCAAATTACAGACTTTATTGTGATCTCGCATATTACTATCTTGGAAGATGATAGTTTTCAGAGGCTAAATCAACACAGTACAGTAATTCATCTATTCCTGATGGTATACCTTCATCTATTCTTAACTTTGTGCTGATTTATATGTGGTATTCTGTTATGTTTTAAATATGATTGGTGTGATTAGAAGGATCGCCACGCTGTAAATAGAAGGAAAACAACAGCGCCACGTTATGAACAATACAGAATTGATTTTTCAGTGTTATAAAATGGAAGTCAGGATCATTAAGTTATGAAAAGTAGAAAATCATACAACAATTTCGATCGCCTGAATTTTATTGTTAATACTTAAAAAAAACCATCGTGCATAGCGCAAGCTAAGCATTACGTAAAAAAAAGAAAAAATAAAGGTAGTCAGTGTCGGGATATATGGAAAAACTTATAAAGATTAGTGAAATTGTTGTTTTTTTTTTTTTACAAAAATTCTGAAAAAAATGGTTAACAAAATTCTTTTATTGGATAAGGGTATTTGCATGATTCAGGCGATTGATATTAATGCGAATAACGGCCTGAGTTGAGCATAGTGCTTCTCAAGAACAACAAACTTGCTCTATTTTTTTAAGCAGAAAACGTGTTTGTCAGTCTAAACAAAATTTTTGTAAAAATAAGAATATAATAGGCGAATTTTTCATGTGTATAGCGACGAAAAATTGAAATATCAAAATAAATATGTAAAAATGTGTGATTAATTATTATGTATACAATTAGATACATACGTAAATATAGATGAATATGTTTATAGATGGATGGAAGTAGAGAAATGTAATTAAAAGAAAAGTGCAAATAACCTATAAGCAGCAACAAGCGCTTCATTAATACCTTGCGATACCATTTTAACCATCGAGATAGAAAACGACTTTTGAAAGTGGCATAGCAAAATTAGAGTGAATGAAGAGTGAATCATTCGAGTTGTTGGCATAGCCGCCATTTCCAATGATCTCTTAAGTGTACGAAAAAGGAGGAACCCCTTATTATAGAAAAGTGTAATTTATTTATTTATTTTATTCCACTTATACAAGAAACTCAACTAAACAAATAACAGTCGAGTTCAATAGGCTCTTAATGCAAAACTAATATTAATTAACAATAAAGTTGAGTAAAAGCATAATAAAACAAATAAGAAGAAAAAAAAAGAAAAGCAAAAAGAAAAAAAAGCATGTACACTATCAGCATAGGAGCACACTTACAACCGGTACAGGACCAAATTGCAAATGAACCCCTAAGCCATCGCAAACATGCATAAGCCTG